CGGCTATATTGTTGTATGCGAGAATATAGTATTAGGATAGCTATCTTTATCTATAATCAATGATAGAATAGACTCAACCTACTTGGAACAGATTTGTGATGAATTGCATATAGCTTCCATGATTTTTTTTATTTTTGTCCATGTGACGTAGATACATGAAAAAAAGTCTCTGCAAAGATTCTTTCCAGATAAATCTTTTATTTTACCTTCGCCAGATGTATAAATACGAAAACGAAACAGGCCCCTAGTAATACGAGGATCAGAAACTTTTTAATAATAGGATGTCTTTCACTGATGCCAAAGATGCAACTTATAGAAGCTCCTAACCCCTACTACTCACAATATTCAGCCCCTCCAAAAAATCTCTAAAAATGAACAGAAATCTCTGGACCTGCAAAACACGAAATTTGAACGATTTTATTTTTTTTACTAAAAGATCAGTTTTCAAAACCTACACAGCTTTGTAGCGAATCCGTGACAAGAACAGACAGACACATACACCGACAGACAGACAGGACGACCGAACTGAGTGACATGGCTTTTCATGACGTACGTGTCATCCAAAAAATATAATATTTGATCTTCAAAAGTCTTTGTCAATTGGCTTGGAAAGTAAAAGCTTAATATTGTAAATAGATTGTGAAAATTTGAAGTATTACTTCTTAATTAAGACATTTACTTTAAGGGTTCAGAGATTTGAAATATGGATAGAAAGGCAAATAGCATTGCGCTGTTCTTGAATAGACATTCCATGATTTCCATATATGCGTAACCATTCTCAAATCCTTGTCAACTGATTTTCTTCGTTTAATAGGCTACTTTTAAAACAAAACTCTAATAAAATCGAAAGTTTTACATACCGCGTAACCTTTGCGAGCGAAACTATAAATTATTGTCAGGAAAAACTTATTAATTTACATAAAACACAAGAGACAGATATGCCAAAGTTGGTACAAGCACACTAATGAAACCATTTCATTGCTCTAATTGGCATCAATAAATAACCGCGTTGCGACTATAACATTGTACATAGAACAAACAGCCAATCGATGGAATTTTTACCATAAATCTTTTTTTTTTCTTATCCGTGAGAGGACGGGAGGTATGCATATTGATATCGCTGTGACTGCAGTCTCCTGCCCCCTGGAGAGAATATATGTGTTTTTTCGATGGAGACTATAAAGATGCATAAAAACGGCGCTTTGTAGTATTAAATATTGTTGCGCTATACCATGCTATACAAATAACGAGGTACGGTGCATACATATAATGTGATTGAAGATATGTAATAATAAAAAATTCACTGTTTAAGATGTAGCTTGTAATAATAACGTATTTTTAAAAAGAAGTTGACACAAATCATAGATATCAGAGATGAGAAATATTGTCGCTCAGGCACAGGCTGAAAAAGCCCCAGGCCAAAGGAAAATCCGGGACCTTGCTTCTGAGACGATGCGCGAAGGGGGACGTGGAGTATATACTCATGCTATTTTTTATTGGATATTTCGTTTGGTTTTTGAGCATTTGGTGGCCCCTTATCGGGACCCTGGGCGCGGACCTCGTGTTCCCATAGGGTAAGACAGAATAGAGTAGTGAAGAAGCAGAAGAAGAAAACAAATCTCTACTTTGTTAGGGTAAAGTCGGAATAGTGCCTTAGTGCCGTGATCTTTGAGTTACTCGCTTTTTTGTAAGAACAGATATGACAAAAAAGACTTTATCGCATGGTTGAAAAAAGATCGTTTTTTTGTCCTAAGCTAAACGAACATATAACTAAAAAACCTTTGTAATAAATTCTTTTTTACTGGATGTTTTTTTTTTATTAGTCACTTAGCATAAAATAGGCTTAAGAGTGTTTATGTTTTTGAAAGAACAAATCAAATGCAACACAAAAAGCAAAATTCGTGGTTCATTTTACACCTTATTATTTAATAACAGATACATATTTACACAGCTTTTTTTATTTCAAGTGAATGGACGTATAACAACTATATGCATTATGCAAAAAGAACAATTATTTTTTTCAACAACTCAATTATGGTTACGTTTATTATACCCTGCATCACAATCTCGTTGAATATACTTGAAGTATACAAAATGAGGAAAGTAAAATCACTCGAAAAAAACTTTCCATGTTCGGATGGTGACGACAACCTTCCCAGAACACACACCTTAGAGATACGTCGGGTGGTATCTCCACATTTGACGGCTTGACACCGGCTGTTTCTGCTGAAAGTCACACAGCGTTAATAGCCTAAGCTATCTGGACATCTCACAGTGGTCTAGAACGCCAAAAGGGTCGCATAAATTACGATTTGTACGGTATTTATTAGATAATCAGTAAAACTGTGTTTTTGGGTCTCTGATTTCAACTCCGGGGCTACTTTGGCTATATAAAGAAGTTTGACTTCAAGGTCATATCAAGGACACGAGCAGTTAACAACAACATATCATTTAGGTACTTCGGCAGCAGTATTACGTATCTTGAAAAGTGACATTATGCCGGTTTTTCTACAAGATGTCAACCTAGTACTACTTCTAATGTGATGTAATATCTGCTTATTGGAGGTCTAAGCTATAAGGAAGCGACAGTTCGTAGGTGCATAGTGAGGATCGGTGTGCTAATAATCTGTGTTGATGATAATTCCATTGGTTTCTTGTCTCAAATACATTTACTTGAGATGTATGCAAAGCTAAAAAATTTCTTTCCACTTTTTCTTATTCAACCTGGAAATATATACATATGTAAATTTGCTGAATTTCAAAAAAGAGATTAAAGCAAAGAAATTCCCTGGTTGATGAAGTATATTAAAACTAACAGGTGAGAAAATATGGTACATACAGGAATATTTATGAAACATAAAAAGTTATTACATTTCCATTAATTTTTATTTCCAGACACTTAAATTTAATAGAAGTTTATTTTACCATGTCAAGTAGAAAAATAGTAGAAATCAGCGCCTAGATGTAAGACAGTGTGAAAATGTTTTCTACATAATGCGTCATTCCTAATTTTTCTGTGATGTGGCTTAATAATCCACAACGCCGGCGCGGAGTTGATTTCGTGTAATGCTTCTCAGAGTTTTTGAAAACGAAAAAAGAAACGGGGAAAATCGTAATGTATAACTTTGAACATAACCTCTCTTCAGAAAGTACAACACAAATAAGCCGTCTGGCACAGCTAGTAGATATATTTCATGGACAGTATATTCAATAATAATTCTCTCACATAGAAATATCACTGATTTTATATATATGCAGACCAATACACATAATCATCCAGATGTGATCTTGCTACTCTGCTACTCAACCACACATCTACTCAGAGTATACTCTACAATCTCGGCATTCTGCAACCAACAAAGCAGGATGGGGAACTGAACTGCGGCTTGCAGGTTGCAACGAGTTGACATTTCGTCGTTATTTTTGACATTTTTTCAGGTTTGTTACGTATAACCTGTGCCGGTCACTGAGAGTTCAATCAGTCACTACGTCACTTGAAGGTCATTTCAGGAACCAATTCAAAATAAATCTGACATTTGTGTCCAGACGCGTTTCATACATGATCCTGATTGAGTAATCGTATACGATCATCTGCCATAAGTATATAAGAATATATGTCTGGATGGTTTGTAAGAGCTATGGAGAACTGGATCTAGATTTTATCAAACAGTGCTTCAAGATCCACAAACATCGTTAACGGTAAGGGTTATTACGTAATAAACCTGTATAATGTCAAAAAAAATCGGTAAAATACCCGCTTGTGTACTAGGTAACCGCTGTTCAGCCCACTGTGCGGTGAACATGAAACCAGCGATTTTTATTGCATCAGATGGACATTTCTACCCTCTGTATTAAAGTCCAAAAGTTCGGTTTGCGTGGCCAACTGACAACATGAGATATTAGTTTTGAAGTAGGTTATGGAATTCCATCCCTTTTCCACTGATTTTCTTTTGTTTTTGACTTTTTACAGTTTTTACTATAATTGACATTGCATTATGAGTCGGGTCCTGGCACACATGACGGCGTACCTGCGCCTTATCATAATCGTGTGCGTAACTATTTGGACACCTGGAGTAAAAATCGTTGGATCGGTCGTGGTGGGCCTATATCTTGGCCTCCTAGATCACCATATATGACACCGGTGGACTTCTTTCTATGGGGCTACGTTAAGTAAGAGGTTTATAGATATCCACAATCTACCCCGGAAAATATGAAGGAAAAGATTAAGGATGCTTTTCTGACCATAAGGCAACACATGCTGAGGGATGTGCAAGCGTCATTTATCAGGCAGCAGCGGTGGCCACAGTAGAAGACTCTTCGGTCTCCTGATCAGTCGCCATGTGTTGTGCGGGTTCGAATCCCGTCCCAGGAGAAACTTTTCTCTCGGCTATGGATGTTGTGATTGTCCGTAGGTGGGAGACGGTGTCTGACTGTCAAACGCGGAGGTACCACCCGGCGGATCTTGTAGGCGGGGTCAGAATGTGTGAATGTTGCATGCACAGGTGTTCCCTCGCCAGAGTCCGTGTGGGGTCCCCTGTATCCCCCTATAGCCCCACGGTACCCAATGGGTGTTTAGGCCTAAGGCCTTCGTGGTAGTTGGAGTATAAAAAAAATAGCTCGGCTGCCTTTCGGCAGGAAAAATATTTTTTGACGACAAGGGACTTTGCTATTTGGAATCCGTATACTTTTCATATATCCGATCCGCAATGGTGTGTTCCGATATGCAATTTGTTTCTTTATCATTACTGCCCATTTCTTTAATTTACATATCAACGAAAACAAGCAATTTAATCTGCGAGTCTCACATCGATATTCAATTTATTTTATTGATTTATGCACGTTATGTCTGATTTATACAGAGCGAAAAATGAGTCAATTAATGTGTATTTGCTTTGAGTTAATCATGGTTTATTCATAAAAATAATTGCGCCGAGACAGCTTGACCATTTTTACAACATTTGTTGATTTATTGGTGCTGTTGATGAATGATTAACGGCATAGTTGAATTGCTTTGACATGTTAATCACCAGAGATCTACAGCTTTGTGGATGGCAGTATTTTACATGCAAGTATTCAGGGTGCCGGAGCAGAAGGTTGGTAGTATCTTCATGTTTAAGAGACATTTCTAATCAAAGCAACAGTAATATGACCAGTTTGCTGCATTTCAACTGAAGTTCCGATCATATTATTGAAAAATCATTGGTAGTGAGGTAAGCGTACCTCCACATCCCATTTTTGCGTTCTTTGAAGTGATTCAGTTGAACCAGCAGTGGTGCAAACCTTCTAGAAAAGCTATGGTTGATACGAATAGTAATTATACATGTATCCATATATTTCCATATTTTTATGCCATCAATAAAACCAAATATGCAGGCTTGGGTTCTTATTAACGTTTAGCTTTATTAACGGTGGCGTTTCTTAAAGTACAGATCGAATAAGAGACGTAACAATATATTTTATATTTATTCCTTTGAGGTGACAATTCGTGTTGGGGACTCACTACTAGACTTGATTTTAAAGCTACCTGACGTGAAATCAAGTCAAGTTCAAGTCAGGTATTAGATATCAGCAATCTGATATCAAGTCATGTAGTTTTCACGTATGTCTCTCAAGAACTTGAAAATTCAAGTCTTGATGTTACTTGATATCTTAGTAATATCAATACTAGTAGTTTATAAATACACAACGAAACGTCTTTATTTGACACAGGTTTCAGAGAAAACAGTACATATTAAACAAAATAATTCGTTCATCGTTTAACAAACAATAGAGCTATAAAACTCTAAACTCAGTTAGAAAAAACTACATTTCTCCATAAGATGATAACAAAAAATAAAAAAGCCTAAATTAGCTTTTCATTTGATAACGACTTAAGATACATGAAGGTGCTAACTGATTTATTTTAATCCACACTCCTTTATCATAATAATTATTTTTAAGCTGTGCCTGTTATACAACATGTGGTAGATAACGATGCATTTTGTTGTTTTTTTTTAAGACGTTGCATATTGATTTGTTTTTATATTTATAAAAAAACCTGTGTATCTGTGTTGTGTGCCCGCGCTATATATACTTTTCATATAAGGCACTGCATGGTCCAAAATCGCTCGATCCGCCACTGATCTTACGCCTGCCCTGATTTTTCCTTTCTGCCGATTTTGTCCTTGAATACCAAATTTCAACACCATCTACCGATTTCCTATGTTTTTTGGTTTGACAACGCTGTTGGATACATCATTTGAGATCTCGTGACAATTTTCGATTTTTTGCATTAAAATACACTACTCGTCGGTTGTACGAATAAATATCACTGACCGTCTTTAGTAGAACAAAAATATAATTTGCCATCAGGTATCAAGTAGTTTGAAAATGCTTGACCTCAAGTCGAGTAGAATAATAAAAAAATCGAGTCAATGAGCATGTGTATCTACCTTTTTAGTTGCACATGTGCACTCATTTCGGGCCTGATGAAGCCAACAAGCAGAAATACGTATCGCTCGGGTTACCTATCCTACTTTCTGCTCGAATCCACTTTCTTTCTATTTGCGGATTCTGTCCATTATTTTTCTATTTGTTATATACCTTTCTCCCCATGATCCTCCTCTTTATATATATATATATATATATATATATATATATATATATATATATGAATACTCATGATTTGCATTAATATTATCATTAATATTTAAAACTTTACTTTTAGACATTATCAATAAAATCTTTGATGTGTTCATGATTTGTATCTTACGACCTTCTAGTTGTTGAATGTAAGTTTACTGTATCAAATACATTAACAAAAAATCGCAACAATGTACATATATTATTCGCTAATTTCCTCTACGAGCTTATCTTTCTAATTATCAAATACATTTTTCTTCAGATATCAAAAATAGTTTTGCTACCAAGCCCCTCAGGTTACAACATAACAGCAAATGAAAAACACGAATGCAAATAACAGTATAATTGTTGGTATTAGAGCTCAATATATTAAAAAATCCACATATCATATACGTACTTGAAAGGTTACTTGTAATCGACGTGAAGCTTATATATAGGGTGATCCGGCAGTTTATAATTTGAAAAAGCCACCGATGTGGCCGAACGACAGTAAGTCATTAGTTCTACATACATATGTGCTTTCATTTGAGAGCATCGAGCATGGAGATACAGAAAACTAAGTCACTGATTTCTGTTGAAAATGTCTGAATTTTGGTAGGTTACTTCCATAGTCGATGCCAAGAACGAAAAAGCTTAAATTTTTTGAGGTAGAGGAAACTGTCCTAAAGCGGTCCGCAGTTGTTACTGGTTCTGCATTCTCTAAAACTCAATTATGGCAAAGGATAATGGGAAATGGAGTCTTTCTAGAATATCTAAAGCTAATGCCTTTCAGAACAAGATGATGGGACGAAAAAGGCAGTGAAGCGAAAAAGTTGTTTTTTTCGCTAAAGAATCCTTGTTTGAGAATAAAATCTTAATTGATGACTAGAGGTGTCTGGAAATCATATTTTTAACAATAATCTTCAACTGTAATGTTTAAAACATTAAAAAGTGAATGATGCTGAATATCGCAGGGTGAATGTCACACGCAGCAATTTTTTAGGAACTTTCCGAATCTCTTTAAATCAATAGTAACGTCGGGGTCCGTCTTGAGCACTTTCATACTTTTTACAGTAAAGACCAAGAACTTTTACAGATCGAGATTCCTTGTAACGACTAGAAATTTTACACGTTATATAACTTTTGCCATTCGGATTTGGATAAAAATTTCATAAGCTGATGAATCAGTATACAAAAAAAGTATGCATGCAAGTTGCTAAGCGTCGACTTCTTCCATACATCTATATACGAATAGAAGAGTTTTGGCTCAACATCAAGGCTTACTTGCCGCCTTATTGGAATGCCCACCTGTAAGGCTAGATTCACAAAAGGAAACATTATACATTTTATATCTGTTCGAAGTTATAAAGACGTATTTAACTGGTTTAACTGTCTACATCAGCCCCGTTATCCGATTTTTAACACTGCAAATGCCATATAAGCGCATATAAATTTTCTCAGAAGATAATTAGAATTCTCAGTAAAATTTTTGTCTTATCTCTTTTGCTCGATTAGACGTTGATTTGAATAAATGGCAGTTGCAACTCAATCTTAGTAGGCACATATCGAAGCTTTTCAACCGTATAATGCATGCATATTTATTAAAACATTATTAAAAATGACATAAGTACTACAATTATTTGATTAGTTATATGTTTCCAATTAATTGTGATATTGTAAATGTTGTTCAATTAAAATAAGCTTTAAGGTTTCCACAGTACCTATAATCATATTTTTCATCTCATTAGATTTTTCTGGTGTCCTAAAGAATCTATGCTAGTCTTACATTTTCTCCTGTACCATCTCTTTCAGAATCGGTGGATTCGACTTTTTCATACAAAGTCCACGATTCTGGTGGAACTGGGACAGAAAGCTCATCACTATGCTTAACAGGCCGCAAAGCTGATGGTAAAATACTTAACAGTAGGGTAATTCCGGTAGAGATCGACCACCGGGAGAGACCGACCACTGCCGGTAACTTAACCACAAATCAATAGATGAATCCGTGACTCACATGTATGATGCGATTAGTTGACCTTGTTACATGGAACACGTAAACACGCTCCGTAACAGTGGTATAAATGTACAAATTAAATTTAAAAATTTGTGCAAATTTGACAATTTTTTGACCGATTTACTGTGTTCGTGATATTTTAAAGACGGGTAAGTTTAATTGAACTGCTTCAATACTGGATGATAAAATATGCATCAAACTATAACATAACCCCAAAAATGTAGGCATTTATCATTTTTCCTTCGGTTAACAAGGTGGTCGATCTCTCCCTTAACTTTGGTAGAGTACCACCACATCAATCCGGGAGAGACCTATCATGGAAATAATAATAGTATTAACGAAATATTCGGCGGTCTGAAGGAAATTAGTGATACAATAAAGCTCAATTTGAAAAAATAAATTTATTGTAAAATCATATTGTTACAGATTAACAAAAATGCCCACGACTTACAAAAGGAAAAATGAAGAGACAGCTAAATGGAGTGCTGGTTCTTTAAGAAACGCAATTGAATGTGTACAAAATCGTACAATGGGTGTAAATGAAGCCGCAAGACAATTTGGAATGCCTAAAACAACGCTAAAAGATAGGATTAAGAAGGGGGACGCAATAAAACAACACAGATTAGGTCTGTCATCAGCGTTGGGAGAAGATGCAGAACTAAAATTGGTGCGACACATAAAAAATTGCAAACATTTGGATTTGCACCAGATCGGGAGTCCGTCAGAATATGGGCTTTTCAACTTGTAGAAAAATTAAAACTGAAGCACACATTTAATAAAGAAAGAGGCAAGGCCGGTTATGATTGGCTTAACTCGTTTTTACGTCGACATCCTGATATATCGATTAGAAAAGCCGAAGGAATTTCTATTAACAGAGCGTCTGGAATGAACCGTCTGTTTGTGAAACACTATTTTACCCTTTTAGAAAATGTTCTCACTGTTCCCACTTGTTCCCAAAACTAACGCAAAAACAGTGGTCAAAACACGAGGTAGGCAGCTTGCAACTATTTTAAACAGTTCACAACGAATTGAGATTCAGAAGAATAAAAAGAAAACAAAGAAAAAAACAAATGTCCAATTCAGAAAGAAACTGTGCTTAAACAGAAAAAACATTAGAAGATTCAGATTCGGAGAGCGAAAGTCCAGTATTGCAGGAAAGTGATAAATCAGCAGATGAATGGGACGAAAACGAATGCGTAGGATGTGGGGAAAATTATTTTAAAACCACTAAGAATGACGAATGGCTCAAATGTGTGACCTGTAGTCGTTGGTTTCATAACGGATGCTCAAAATTCGAGAATATTTGCGATATGTGCGGAAAATTTAACAAGAGAAGTCGAAAAAATTAAATGTATTTATACGATTTAATTCTACCCTTATTATTATACTGTTCAAACATGTTTTATTATCCTATGTTTTCTTATTTTTCGAAGTCGATCTCACCCGTAGTTGGTGGTCGGTCTAACCCGGACATCCGGG